TTTTTTTTTCGTATTCTCCTTTGCTTTTTCGGTGTACGTACGCTTGACATCATAATACATGTGAATTAACGATATAAGAAAATCATGGCAAAAACAAAAAGCAATATCTACACATGACAAAAAGAAGGCAAACATAAAAGAACCTGACTATATATTGACAGGATTCATTTGACACTAAGTACTCATATAAATATCAATAGAATTAATGTTTTCTAAAACTTTAATTAAAGAATGATTCAATGATCAGTTTTGCAAATATTTAGTATCTAACTATGATAATAATGTATAATCACGGTAATACAAAAAAAACAAGACAATAGAGTATATTTATTTATTATAAACTGCATTAGTATATAAAATTACTTAATAATAATAAAGTAAGTATCGATCGAAAATTATTCCTTGTCGAACTTTAATTACATATATTTATGAAGGGTCTATTAAAATGCTGAATCAAGCTCTAAATATATATATATATATATAATTTATTGATTTTCATTATCGCTATATAACAAAAGTACTCATATATAAAAGTCATATGAGATAGAATAAATAATAACTACATATCTTATAGAGAATTACGAAATAAACCATTAAATCAATTTTAACTTCATATATGAAAATTGGAATTTGACCTTTATTTTTTTTTTACGTACAGGTATGATTCATAAGTGGAGTGAATTTCGGCAGAACGATTGTTTTTGCGTTTATTATAAAACATATACTCTGTTGCTAGTAGAGACATACATTTACAATAAAAATAATAATATTATTATTATTATTGAGAAGTCAACAAGGGCAAATATATATCATTAGCACATCAATATTCTCTATATACACAATTTAACGGTGGAACTATTCATAAAGAACGCTTAATAAAAATCCATAAATAACATATGATTGCCTATAATTTACCTACGCTCTTTATTTGTATGAATTATGTTCTATAATTTGATGGAAAGGTTTTTTCAAAGCATTTAGTTATTGTATTCTTATTATCGACCTAGAATGGCTGTTAATAAAAAAAAAAGAGCAAAATATATGCACGAGTTACTCATGTTATACAAAAACACTTTTCTTCTTCGCAGTGACGGATCTAGGATTTTGGAAGAAGCGGGGGGGGGGGGGGATATCTGGGGAGGGAAAGGGCGATTTTGGCTAAAAGCTATTTTTTGAGTTCAACCGAAGTAGTGTGGACCTATTTTTTCGTTCATTTTTTCTGTAAAAAATCAAAAAGAAAATTCGGAAGCGGGGGGGGGGGGTGATCGGCCTCTCCCCCTAAATCCGCCACTGCTTCTTCGTAGATATTCGATATTAAAACACAGACACAAAAACTTTAAAAATCATTTGATTAAATTTAGTATTCTATAACATTATATTTAAAAGTAAAACTAAAAATATATTTTCATTAATTTAACAAAACATCTACAAACGCGTATATATATATATATATTCAACGGACAAAATAGAAATCCTGAATTTTTCTATCACTATAAGAAGAAGAAGAAAATAATAATAATAATAAGCGGAAAGATCTATGGTACTATAGTCAATTTGTTTTTCATATCTTGTACATCAATAATTTGTTCTTGTTCTAAATGAATATTATCTAAATAGATTAATATATGTTCAATAGTTTGTTCTTCATGACAATCACCATTAATTAATGGTATAAATATTTCATAATAAATTTTATTTGAATATAATTTATGTGTTACAAGTCGTATTTGTTCATCATTAAGCCATAAATCATCTTCATGAGTAAGGACTGATATTGTGTCTGATTCATTATCATTATCATTATCTTCATTAAGACGATTTAATTCAATAAAATATCGAATTGTTTCAATTGAATACAATTCAAATGAAGAATTTGCTAATAAATCATATAAAAGGCGTTTGATTTTTGTCTGAGAAAATCCATGTACTGATATCATATATAAATCAAGTAAACGTCGTAATGTATTATATGTTCGTTCATGTACAATTATAGATTTTATTAAAAATATTACAATTTGTTTATCAATATGATCTAATGGATAATCAATTTGATAATTATATTTTTTAAATATATATGTTAAACGACGTATTGTTAAACGTATATGATAACATTGTTCAGATGTTATAGAAAGAAATTGATCTTCATATTCAAAATCATCAATTGTAAGACCCAATAGTACAATAGCTAAATTTTGAATAATTGTATATAGAGATATACGTGATGTTATTTTCGATGGATTTGATAATGATGCAATGATAAATGGACCTTTATAAACATGTGACGTATTAAAGAAATTTTCATATAATGGATAAGTAGTAGGATTAGCATAATTGAGAGTACTGATAGCATGATCAATCTAGATAAATAAAAGAATGCAAATATTTAATGTTCGATTTTCAGATTATAAAAACGGCAAGTTCGACCGGATTAGAATTTTTATCATAGATAGATCATCTGAACTGACGAGATATAGGGTCGAGAAAAATGTGTTCATGGCTTTCGATACGTTCTGATCTTGCCACAGTACGAGCCCATCAGATTGGGATTTGCGAATTTCGCCAGTGGCATTATGTGACTACATATGTGTAAAAACTAGGGGTAGAACAGTTCCAAGTTCAGATGAACTGGTCGAACGAACTTCCAATACATTTCTTTTGAAAGCAGCTGAACTGTCTCAATAGTTCAGTTCTTGTCAAAAGAACTATTATACAGTTCCTAAGAACGGAACTTATATGGAGCTGTCCTACCCTTAGCAGAAATAGCTCGTAGTAACTATATTGAAGAGTTTAAACTATGGTATGCTTATTCTAATCCTATTAAGATAAGTTTTCACATGTATTCTATGATAATCTTATGTTATTACAGTCGGCGAGTGCCCATTGTAATTTCACGAGCACATCCCCTATACTTTCGTCAATGCCCTATTGGCGAAGAGACAGTAACCCATCAAACTTTGTCTGATTTGGCTGGAAAAGTTTTTTTTGAGGATACCCACGGCTATATTCTTTTAATAAAAATATTGCCTAAAGGTTTTCTTCAGAACCCTATAAATCCAGATGGTAACATAAAAAATGAAAAAAAGCTCAAGTCTACCCTTCCAATATCCTTCAAAGTATCGATGGTAAAAATCTCAGCTCGATCAAGGGACGTCTTTTGTGACACTTTGAGTGAAGACTAGTTTCACTAAGGTATTATCTTACTGTTGAAATTAATGATTGTTTAGTAATAGCATGTCCATATGTCATCGAATGATATGTACGTAATAATTCAGCAACTCGATCAATAATTTTACCGGAAAAATCATTCATATCATTTAATAGTAAATAGAAAAGATTATTTATTTGAAATATTGCTACTGTTGATGATGAAAATGATAAAACAAATTGTACAATTGTATTAAGTTTACCAGTATTTAAAATAATTTTATTTGTTGAACGTTGATATTTTTCTAATTCTTTACTTATACTTATTATTGAATGAATATTAAATGTTGAAAAATGTGTTAATTCAACATTATTTAAAATTAAATAAAATAATCGTTCTACAAAAACACGTTCATATTGTTGGTGATATTGACTAAAAGAAAATTATCAATCAATAGATTTTTTGAAACTTTTTAATTCAATTATACCTAAAACTACGAATATTAACCGGTTGTGTACGAATAAATAATTGAAATAATTGAATTTTTGATTGTAATAACATCTGAGCATTCTCCTCATCGTCTGAGTTATCATTAGAATTCGATGAATAATATTTTGTATTCATTAGAAAATTTCTATAAGCATTTTGTAATTGTTTTCTTTCTTGTGGACGAAAAAAATCATTATCAATTTGATAAGATTCAGGCAATTCCCATACGGTTGTTGTTGTTGTTGCTGTCGTTGACATTAGATCTATCTGAAAATTGAATGAAAACGAATTTGTTAATCTATCATGAGCATAAAAAAAAGGACACATGTTAATTCACTATTGAGTTTGCAAAAGAAAAGACAAAAAAAAATCTACATAAATAAAAAAAAGAAATGCCAATGGACGGCCATAAAAAGAGAAAAAACAGATCTACATTATCGCACCGAAATGTAATACCATAACATGCAATTGATTACAATTAATAATGTGTTTATATAATATTCAATTTTCGAAGTTCAAGTTTAACACTTGATATTTGTTGTTCAACACGTTCAATTTCTCGTTCAAGAACATCGAGTAATTGTCGGTCATTATTTGTTAAACCTCGTGCTGGTATACGATTAATACGAGATTCTAAGTCACGTTTTTTTGTCAATAATTCATCAAATTTTTCTTCTAAATGTTCACTTTGTTTTATTTGATTATCAATTAAATCCTAAAAGTAATATAAAACATAAAATTACTATAATTATCAGTCAAATAAAAATATTTACTCTCACTGGTATCTGATTCATAGAACGACGAGTTGGTGGTGATTTTTTCGGAGAATACAAAGGTCCTAAAATTGATTCATTTAGCAAAAAACAAAACGAGAAAATTCGTAATTTTATTATACTTGATGGTGGCACATATGCTGGAGGAAATTTTGGTTTATCATTGAGATAATCATTAATTGTGAGTAGAGGTCGAGGTGAATTCGTACGTCGAAATAGATCTTCCGAATCTATATAATCAAAGTTTAACATTCATTTTAAATGATAAGAATCTATACAAATTATCTTTCTGTTCTTACCGTTTGATCCATATCTTGCTGAATCTAGATTACTAGATCTTGGTGAAGTAACTGTCGATGATGAATATCTCGATGTTGTCGTTGTAAAACGTCCATATTCTCTCGAAGTTGGCATATGTACAGGCATAGTTATATTGTATTTAAGATTATCATTGTTTCTAATTCATAAATAAAAAAATAAATATTCATAAAAAATTCAAGATAAGTTTTCCTACCGTTGATTATTAGTATCATTTGTAAAATTTGCTTGACGATATGCTTTAGTTTCATTGTCTAAATCACGATAACGTTCTTCAAGTCGAACAAGACGTTCCTTAAATATAAATATAATATGAATATACATATCTAAACGTTATCAGATATATATACTCTTGTAAGATTGAGATCGCTTGCAATTTGTTCATTATCTTGTCGATATTGTAATGTTTGTTTATCAGTATGACGAAGTTTTTCATCTTGTCGTTCTTTTATCTAAGAGAGAAAATTTAATTTATAATTAAATCTTTTTTAAAATATTTACACTCCGCAGATCATTTAATTGTTGTTGAAGATCATTTATAACTCGTTGATGATTTTTAAATTCGAAATCTTTACTCTTCAATTGATCACGTAATTCTTCTATTTGTCGTTTAAACATATCATTTTCATCTGTAGATAATTTCTAGAAAAATATTCTAATGTTATATATAATATTGAAATTTATTTATTGTGTAATATACTAATGAACGACGTAATTCTTTCATTTCATCATGTAAACGCATATTGTCATTATTAAGTCGTTCTATTGTTTCTAATGATTGACGTGTACTACTAGCTGTATGACTAAAATAATTCATTTAATTTTTTTATATTGAAATAAATATTCTACATACCCCATTTTTGTTGTATTTAATTGATTTTTAAGTTCTTCTATTTCATGTTCATAATATAATTTTAAATCGGAAATATGCTTTGCATGTTTAACCGAAAGTTCTGTTCTAAGACTAGAAATAAAACAAAATTATATTGAAATTTAACCTACAGAAAAGAAAAGAAATAGAAAAATCTCGTATTTTCACTGATCAAATATACTAATAGAATTTATCAAAAAGTATTTAATTAAGATATTCATGTTATATATTCTTAAAGCTTTCTATTATCAATATAAGAAATATTAGTAATAATATTAACCAGAAGTTTATAAATATTAATTATCATGCACATCAATATTAGAATGAATATGTTAAAGAATAATTTTATTAATTCATTCTTTATTCAGATATGAAACATGTGTGAGATTTACAAGAAAAAACATCAAGCCATTGATTAGCAAACAAATACGAAAGAAAAAAAATTAAATTAATGTCCACTTATGTCAATCGAGTGTTATAGTAATGAAATATATAAATTTACAACTATATTTCACTCAAGTTTTTTATTAACACTATAGTCTCTACAATATTGTTGAATAAAATCTGTAAACTATTTTCAAAACCAATCAATCGAAAATTTTTTTCTAATTCATATTTAACTTCAAATTAATCATTTATTAGATAAACGAAAGTGTGCTGATAATAATAAAAAGAAGAAACTCAATAGGCATCTAATTTAAATGAAGTTAATAATGTTGAATTTATTTGTTCTCTTTAGTTTGAAACGCAATTTGGTTATTTGATAGGTTTCTTTGTCTGTTCCCTCTATAGATGGCCTTGACAAAACTTTTTTTTTCTCGAAATCAGAAGTATTCATATCAAATCATTGAAAACTTACTTAGAAATATCTTCTCTCGATTGTGATCGTGATAGATTCGTTCGAATTGATGGTCGTCTTTCCGATGTATGAAAATTATTTATTGAATTGGTTGAATAATAATGATGATGTGATGAATCTGGTACAAATGTTCGACAATGATGAGAAGTTGAAGAATTTTTATATTTTCCATCATAAGATTCATTTAATGTTGAATCATGACTACGACGTAAATGTGCTGATGTTTCCATTGATTCTGGTTTTGATTCATGTAAACTATACAAATAAATAAAATAAAAATCGAAATGTGATAAATGAATTCTAACCTATTTGTTGATGATAGATATTCTTCAAAACGTCGTTTCATTTTTTCTTCAAGTTCATGCATATAAGCTTCATATTGTTTTTGTTGTTTTTCTAAACGTTCTTTATGTTCACGTTCAAGTTTTTCAAGCATAGATAACCAAGTATCCTATAATCGAATACATTAAATCATAAATGAGACTTATTTATAGCGGCGACGCCAGGAATTTAGACTAGGGTGGGCTCAGGCCTAATGAGTTTCAAAAAGAGTGGACTCCGGTAGAATATCACTGGTTTTTTTTAAGATTTGAAAAAAATTTCAGAGTGCGCTGAGTCTACCCCACCCAGTGGCGGATTTAGGGGGACGATCGCCCCCCCCCTCTTTGGAATTTTTTTAGGTTTATACTACCTTGATTGGACTCAAAAAAAAGGTTTTAGCCAAAATCGCCCCCCCCCCCTTCCAAAATCCTGGATCCGCCACTGATCCTAGCCCACCCTTGGCGTCGCCACTACTTATTTGTTTTCTTACATTATTTATTGATTGATTATTATCTTCCTGATTTATATGACGAGATGATAATGAAGATCTTTGATGATGATGAGGTTTTTTTTTTGTTGAATTTGTTTGATCAATATTTTGATTTGATGAACGTCGTAATAAAATATCACTTGCTGATGTATACGGTCGTTCTTGATCATTAAGATTTGGTTTTAAATGAGTATTTAAATCATTATATTCTTCATCTATGGATAAATGTGGTTGAGATGATGAATGTTGTTTTTGTTTTGTTCGATTAACAACATATTCAGCAATTGAATCTGTATCTGACGATGCTGATAATTGACGTAAACGTTGATGAACTTTTTGTTTTGGAGATATATTTAAATGTTGTTTTAATTTTTCATTAGGAGATGTTGTTGTTTGTTGTTGTTGCTGTTGTTGTTGCTGTTGCTGTTGCTGTTGCTGTTGCTGTTGCTGTTGATTTTGTTGTTTTGTAGGTGTTGTATGAAGATCATCAATTGATTGTGCAATGATAACAACAGTTGGTGATTGCATAAATCCATCTGTTCCATTAATTAAATCATTCCAATTAAATTCATATTCTTGTGATTGTTCTTGATTATCTGTCCGAGTACTTGCATTTGTACTTAAACGAGGTATTGACGATAAATTATCATTATCAATATTAGTAGAATTTTGAGTAGGAAAACGAGAATTTTTATTTGGTTTATATGATGTGTTCTAGATGAAATAAAGAATAAAAAGTAAATATTTTATTTTTGTAATTCAATTGATCATGCAAGGTTAGTTTTCATTTAAGTTTTGATCATACCATTTGCAAAACTATATTGTGTATGTATATATACATGTAGAGGCAAGGACATTTTTATTTGAAGGTAAAAAGAAATATAATTATATCCTTGAGTAAAAAATCTATCTTAAATTGATATTTAATATCAAAAAAGCTAAAGGTATATATTTCAGTATCGTTATGGTTTAATTAATTTTGTTTATTTTAAAATCTATATAATCTTAATGGAACTTTATTTGATAGAACTAAATATTTGATTAGCAAAAGAAACTGAGATAATAGATATCAAAAAGAGATAATCGTCTATTTTTAGTACACTTACTTCTAAATCTGATATAATAGACTGATTTATATCAATTATTTGATGGAACATGAATGTAACATAAAATATCCGAGGAAAATAAATTAAGATTATGAAAGGCAATGAAAAGAGAAGCTATTCATAACGTTATAAATTGTAAAATTTAACGAAAACAATTATGTAATAGTATAAGCTTGTTTTATATATCAGATACGTTATCTTATTGACTGACCTCGTCATTCTGACTAATGATGTGTATCCGAAAATTTTTATTAGATACGACAAGGATAATAAACATCATTATGCTTATTATTTAGGGTATTTCATGAAGCAATTGATATTATGATTTAATCCTCTGTTCATAACATACAATACGAAAATATATTTTATATAGTAAATCATTTAGTAAAGAATCGCATGGCTGACTAATTAATAATACTAATTCTTGATATTCTTTTATATACATCTTTTAGTGAATATTGATAAATCAACATTTATGTAGATTTTGTCAATATTCGACTAGTAATTCAATACTTATCAAACGGTAAGTAGAAAGAAAAATATTTGAAGACAAATTGACAGATTTCAAATAAAGTAATACTATATGAATGAAAAAACACTAACCTCTTGTACATTATTATTTGGATTATAATTTTGTGCTGATCGTTTAATGTTATCACCATGTTCTTCAACAAAAAGTTTTTGTCTCATATCAACATTGATATCAGTATCATTATCTCGATGATTATCATAATCTTCAGTTGACACTGATGACACTTCTTGAATAGTTTCAGATAAATGATTTAAATCATTATCTCCAATTGTTAAATTCTCTTTTTCTTTCATTTTATGAATATTATTATTAGTAGTTGAAGAAGATCGATGATTGACAGATTCATTGCTTGATTCTGATGAATGATTTGGTGATAAACTTTGATTACTTCCATCGGTTGAATGTTTTTTTTGACTTTCATTATCATCTACTGTCGTATAATTATTTGTTTCATCAGATAAAAGTTTTGTCACATCATACTTAATGAATACAAATAAAATAATAAGAAAAAAAAAGAAAAGATTTTATATTACCAATCTTGTTTCACTAAAATCAAGGTCTTTTAATAATTGACTATACTTAGGTTGACTTATACGAATATCATTTCTTTCTTCGTTATCATCATCATTCTCTTCATTGTTATCATCTTGATTATGAACAGTAGTATCTAAAGAAAATGAATGTTTTTACATCTAAATATGATCTCTCATACCTCTTCTTCTTTCTTCTTCATCTATTACTTCAGTTGTGACATGATTATCATCATTAAATACTTGAGTATGATCATTAACAAACGTATAACCTGTTGCCGAGGATGTTGCTGGCATGAATACAAATGGAACTATTATAATCATAAGATAATATAGAAAAAAATTCATACAAAAAATAACTTACAGTCACCACGAACATAAAATTCCTGAGGAGGTGGATTATTATCTGTATTAGAGTGTGTCATCTGAAGAAAAAAATACAAATAAACAATATGAACTTATCGAAAATCTTTTTTTCTTTTGTCTGACTTTCGAGTGTGTCTTCAGTAGTAAAAAAACGAAAGATACATATTTCTTTCTGTCTCTTCGTTCCCTCTCTTTCTTTTTTCTTACACCTCTACAAATTTATGTCAATGAAAAAAAAATGACTACCTTGTTCTTATTTTCTTCCTCTACTTTTTTCTATCGAACAATGTACAATATGGTTTACAACGCTAATAACAAGGAGAGTATTGTATCTATGTTATCAAAAAACAAAGCAAGTCCAAGTATAACATTTAATTTCTCGTTTGTCAATATTCTTGATATTTTCTTTTTGTATTAATATGATCAAGGAGAAGCTGATTTTCTATCAAGGTAGTCTCTATATTGTAATATTATCAAAGCAATTACATAATAACCATATCTTGTCTGTCGTTCTGAGTGATTTATGATATTAACTGACATGTTAGCGTAGCGATTTGTTAGTCTTTTGCGTAGCCTAATAAAAAAATAAAATAATAAACGTTTTATTGAAATAATAATAATAATAATACAAACGCATATATTTTTTCTATTCAAAATTAATAATCTTACTTTTATTTCTATACATGATACATAAATTTCAGTTAATATCGAATTATAATTTCCTTATAGCTCTGATACAGACATAAAAACAACTACACAAATATTTTTTTTAATGTCAAGCAAATTATTTATTACAAAAGAAAGTTAAATATTTTTGTTGTAGTCAAAAAAAAAAATTATATTACGATTTAATCCCTATTCATGTGCTTAGTAGGATCAGTGAACGATAGAATACATTAAAAAAAGCTTTAAGATCGTTTAATTCTTTCTATTGTTATTATTATTATTATTATTCGAGCGCTTATTGTGATTTGAAAAGGAATATTATGATAAAAAATGAAAGTATTCATTCTATACCTGAGTATTGATTGAATAAATCTAATAGCACATTTTTGCAATAAATCACAATTCTAAAATTTCGATGAACAGCGATAGACGAAAGAAAAAACAAATTAAAAATGTTTATAATGAACAACTTACATTGAACTTTATAAACAAAAATCGTCACAGTTTTGTTAATTTATCTGAATGTTTATCTCAATTTTTTTGAAAATTATTGATCTTATTTACATTATAAAAACAATTGGTAAAATTATTCATAACAATTTGAACAGTACACCAGCCATGACAGTTCAATTGAGTTGAAAAAAAAAGTTAAAATTCCTATGACTCATTATTTACTGCCATTCATTCCTTTCATCAAGAGGTCACTAGTTAACGAATCCACATCTTCTATTTTCTCAAGTTTGAACAATATGATGCATCGTGTTAAATAAATAGAAGAATTCAAAATTAATATCTTGATTTTTTTTTCTGGATATGCTTATACTATAGACAACATACAGATAATGAAAAAAATGAACAATACATAAACAAACGATGGGAAGAAGTGTTTTTTTTAAATATATATATATATATACGGAAAATACAACAAAATGGTAAGACAATAGAGAAAAATGAGAATTTTGTTTTCATTCTAACACTCATCTCAC